CTTTCAACTCAACTTGGAACTTTCAACCTGGAATACTTTTATTTTATTTTATTTTATTTTATTTTTGGAGGGCTGCTGTTAGTTCATCTGGCTCAGAAAGTGACACAGAGATTATGGTTTATTTTGACACTCAGTAGAATATTGGTGACAGGAGAAAAGACAAAGGTACTGTGTGGAAGACTCAGGGCACTTCTATCATATAATTATCCTTTCTCTGCCATTGGGCAGCATGAGGCAAAGACAGATGGAAAGCCATCTGAGCTGGTGGAAATGAATCAGTTGTTCTTAGAGTCCAGCGAGTAGGCTTGGACAAGGGGCAAGGCACTCCCCATAGGCAGCTGGAACAGCCAAATGTGTGTCTAGCTGCTGCACATGAGCTGAGGCCTGGAGGTGGTATATGACCATGGAAGTCAGTTCCAACAATGGCCTCTAGGGGGACGTTGAACAAAAAACTCAGAGGTGGTAGCAAAGCATGCATGGTTGTGAAAGATCTCAAGACCAGCCAACTAGTGGCTCTCTCTTCTCTATAGACAAGGCACCGATGACTCAGATCACCGTGGAATGAGGTAAAGCTACAAGGAACGGCAAGAATGCAATCCAACTCCAAGCACACTGATCAGAGATCCACAGCATGTCAGATACTGAGCAGTCTGTGCCCTCCAGGAGCTCAAGTTTAGCACCACATGGCCCATTACATAAAGGTGCTCTTCAAAGGAAGGGGTCCCATCAACAGAAAACTTGGGGGAGTGTTGCAGGTTCTGTCCTCTCTTGGGAGTGACATTATGTGTTTGCTTAAGGAAAGCACTGAGAAGGCCGGGCACAGTGCCTCACGCCTGTAATCCCAGCACTCTGGGAGGCTGAGGTGGGTAGAATGCTTGAGCTCAGAAGTTTGAGACCAGCCTGAGCAAGAGCGAGACCTCTGTCTCCAAAAATAGCTGGGCATTGTGGTGGACACCTGTAGTCCCAGCTACTTGGGAGGCTGAGGCAGGAGATCACTGGAACCCAAGAGTTTGGGGTTGCTGTCAGCTATGAAGCCATGACACTCTACCCAGGATGACAGAGTGAGACTCTGTCTCAAAAAGATAAATAAAAATAAAAGCACTGAGATGTCCTAGGGGTTAGGGCGGGGGGCCTACTTCGCTGAGTTTGCTACATACTTCCCAAAACTGTTTCTCTACTGAGTCCAAAGGATCAGAGTTCCTTGGATCTGATTTGGGAAATGCTTGTGTAGGAGGTGTGTGCAGCCATTGTAGAACCCTTCCTATTAGAAAGTTTATCCAGCCATTGCACAATGTGGAAGAAAGGAAAACATGATCCAGCCTCCAGGGGAAGAGTTGGCAAGAGATAAACAGGATATTGGGCTCAGCAGATAGATTGAGATTTGGGCTAGAACAGCGGTTCTCAACCTGTGGGTCGTGCAACCCACAGGAACTGTATTAAAGGACCACGGCAGTAGGAAGGTTGAGAACCACTAGGCTAGAGCCTTGATCCCAGAGGAAGGCTGGAGTACCACATGGAGAAGTGGTGTAGACTAGAGCATGTGTGTGTGTGTTGCTGTAAAGTTGTGCCCTCCGTAGTAGAAACCCGATCTGCACCCAATCTTGCTGAGAGGGGTGGGAAGAGGGTTTAGAGCATCTCAATGACGAGGGGCACCTGGACTCATCCTGCCCCACCAGGTTCCAGAGTGTTTGGATGACTTAACTCTAAGCTCCTGTGTCTGAGGCCATTGTAGGCACTGCCATGATTGGCTCAGAGCCCAGGGCAGGGTGTGACAACAGAAGGTATCCTTCTCTGAATATTCTCATGCTGGAAATAGGGAAATTGAGGCTCAAGGGGAGTTGACTACTGTGCCCATGCTCACAGTTAGTAAAGACTTGAATCTGTTGAATCTTGTGTTGCCCCCAAGTCATTTTCCTCAGTGCTGCAACCCTATTTGCATAGGCACTTTGCAGTCTCCATGGGGTGGGACTCACACAGAAGGAAATTCAGTTATGCATGCATGTCTGGGTTAAGACAAAGGCAGAGCTCAAGGCCAAGTTCAATTGTTCCCTATAACAATTCATTAAAATTTAAAAAAAAATCTGTGTAACCTTGGGAATAGTCTAGGATAACCTTTTATTATATCATGTTATCAAATTTGTAAACACGAAGATATTCTCAACAATTTTTTGGTGGGAACTGAAGGTCCGTCAGCCTGGGTGATCTTTTCTCTCTGTCTAATCATTCTAATGCACATGTCAGCTGCAAGCCATGATGACTTCATTGTTATCCTCTCCGTGACTTCAATTAAAGGCAGATTAAACAGGGCACAGATCCAATCAGTCAGGCATGCATTAGACACCAGCTAGATATAAGGCACTGGGTCAAGTGTACTGAACCTGTGACTGTTTGGTGTGGAATTAATGGGGTTAGGGCCTCCTTCTGTTCCTTCGGCCACACAGATCTCACTGTGGCACGTCCCTGGGTGAGATCCCAGCCTGAAATCCACCTTTGGTGTCTCACTGAGATCCTCAGGTTTGTCTGTTGTTTCACACCAACTCCCATGGACTTGTGAGTGGCTTCCTGGACATGTATAGGTTGAGAACCAGCTTCCATAGTCTGGCTCCAGGGGAAACAGAGCCATATTATTCACAGCTCTCTTCCAAAGGCAAGGAGGACTGGAGGGGCCAAGAATGTTGTTTCTATTCTTGTCCTGGCCCCTGACACTTGCCTTGTGACAACTTAATAGGGCAAAGAAACTAGGTGGATAGAAATTGGTCTTTAAAGCATCTAGTTCAATACAACATTTGTAAAATTAACTGAGATCAGTTAACGAATGGATCCAATCTGTAGGGTGGCCATGTTCCCCTTGCCTACCTGATCAGTCAGGCCCAGTGGCTGATCATCTGATTCCAGTTGTGAGAAGACAGGACCTGACTTTGAGGACTGGAGAAGCGCTATTGTGTAAGGGACAGGAATGCTGGGATGGGGGAAGGACTAGATGATTCTTTTTCCTTTAGGCCACAACATTTTCTGCATACAAATGCTCCTGTTAGAAACTGCAGGTCTAGTGCTTCGGGTTTTTTGTCAATTAAGTCACACTTTGAAGGTTCAGAAGATGCTATTCATAGAAGCTCAAACTGTGATGAAAAATTATGGTTAGGTAGGTTGCCCTAAGCCAAATTATGACAGCGATTGCTATTGTCAATTGTCAGGATGAGCAGGGAAATTTACCTGACTTTGCTCTAAACCGTGCTTTTATTGGTATTTATAATTATGTTCTTTTTAAATTAGATTTTAAGAGCAAAAGCAATACATTCACCTTGTAAAAATAACCAAAACATTACAGGAAGGCTAAAAGTGTTCCCTGATGACCTTCCCAAATCCCAATTCCCTCCTTCTTGAGATTTAACCACCATCTCCAGAGTGAAGTTCACCTTTACAGACCTTGTTCTCTGCATTTATGAATATAAACTGCAAAATACAAAAACATACAAAGTATTGTGGAATTTTCTGCCTGCAGGCAAGGCTACAAAAATGGAATCTGACTTTTTTTTTTTTTTTTTTGCTTAATAATATATCTTAGGTAGGCCAGGTATAGTGGCTCATGCCTATAATCCTAGCACTCTAGGAGGCCAAGACAGCCACCTGTCTTGCTTAAGCTCAGAAGTTTAAGACCAGCCTCAGCAAGAGTGAGACCCCATCTCTAAAAACAGCTGGGTGTTGTGGTGGGCACCTATAGTCCCAGCTGCTTGGGAGGCTGAGGCAAGAGGATCACTTGAGCCCAAGGGTTTGAGGTTGCTGAGAGCTGTGACACCACAGTACTCTATCGAGGGCAACAAAGTGAGACTGTCTCAAAAAAATAAAAAGTAAAAATAAAAATCTAAAAAAAGATACAATTAGCATGAAAATAATAATCATATATTTTGGAGAGTTTTCCATGTTAGAGCACATTAGATCTGCAACCTTTTGTAAATGGTTGTAAAATATTTCAAGTGTGGGGATACTATCATTTTAGCAATCTCCCTGTTGTTGGACAGCTAGGTTGCTTCCAAACTTTTCACCATGAGGGGTCCTCCTGCTGTCAACTTCCTTACACAAACCCCTGACTAACATGCACAAGTGTTTCTTGAGAGCAGATACTGAGAAGGTGGATGCCTTGCTTTTACTATCTGCTGTCTAATTGTCCTCCGCAGCGGCTATCCCCATTCTCCTTAGTACGAGCTGCGTGTGAGACCCATTATCTGACACTCTTATCCATCCTTGACACAATCAAATAGCCCAGATGCTTGTTACAGAACTAGGTCCTGCTTGTCTGAGGGGAAAGCCCCACCCTCGTCTTTATGTCTGAAGTCCCTAAAATAACAGGGCCACTGCACAGAAAGTGCTGAGATAACATTTGGTCCCGTTTTCCTGTAGCCAGAAGATCCTTTCCCTTTGAGGTCCCTTCTCCCTGTGTTCACTGTACTGGCCCTGAGGTGTCCTCATCAAAACCTGTCTCTGCACCTCAGGCCAGGTGAGCTTGTTCTCCTGTGCGCCTTCATGTCCGCTCTCAGCACACCTGACACGTTTCATTATTTCTCCCTCTTTCTGGCCTCCTCTGTCCTGTGATCTCTGAACTCCCGCAGACCAAGAGATACACCTTTTACACCTCTGTTTCCCCAACACCGCTCCCAGGCCCACGTGGGAGGCATTCCATAAGAACTTTTAAAATGAAGGCCAGAGCCACAGAGCCACATCCACCATGGAATGACAGCCAGGGAAAATAAACAGCGCGGCGGCAGCAGAAAAAATTAAGAGGTCACTCTGCTGGGCAGCAAAGATATTTTTCTTTTATTTTGGGTCTTTTCATGTGGTGGCAGGGGAGGGAAAGCTCACACACAGCAAAGCTCAGTATTTTGCTTTTTCATTTGCAAAGGGATTGACAGGTCCCTCCATTGCTACAGGGTGGGTGGGGACAAGTCTCTGACCCTCACTGCCCCCACAGTAACCACTCCCTGCCCTCTGTCCTGCCCCCGTAGGGACCATGGTGATGCGGATGACAGCCTTCGACGCGGATGACCCGGCCACGGATAATGCCCTCCTGCGCTACAATATCCGTCAGCAGACGCCTGACAAGCCATCTCCCAACATGTTCTACATCGATCCTGAGAAAGGAGACATTGTCACCGTGGTGTCACCTGCGCTTCTGGACCGGGAGGTGAGCTGAAAGGAATGCATTTTCTTTTTCATGAGAACGGAGTGTGGATTTCACACAAGGGAAGACGTGGGGCTTCAGTCAATGGCGCTTTATATTATGAAAGGCAGAAATGTGGTGTTTATATGTGGTTGGGCAGGGGAAGTCTGCACAGGGAAATGGGGCATCGTGTGACCCAAGAAAACACTCTCTTCAGGGACAAATCACCTGGCACTGTTTGCCTTCATCTGGCCCCAGGTCTCTGTTTCCTCGCTAACCCTTTATCCTTCAGGCACTGGTGGTTCTGATGCTGCTATGGCCCCTGCCTTTCTGCTAGAAGGGAAAAGCAGTAGGGGAGGAGGAAAGATGAGGCTGTCCTTGTGTCACTGTGTCCCTGCGAGCCTCTCTCTTGCTCAGCCTCTGTTCTTATGCTATAGACTCTCTCTGTGAAGTCCCTCCCATCTTCTGGGTCGTGTGTCACAAAGAGGTCACCCAGGGACCATAGTCCATGCACCTGCTCTTTGGTTTGCCCACAGTGTTTTATAACTTTCATTAGTTGGTATATCAAAATATTTAGAGTTCAAATTTCTAAAGTAAAAACAAAATTCTGTTTCCAGGTTTTCTGAAAATCAGAAATTAGAGAAACTTTGGGCCCGGTTTCCACATGTGTGCCATCAATCTCATGAGACATGGCCTTCACATAGATGTGGGTGTCAGTCATCCCGTTCACATGGGACATGTGCCCCTCCCCTTTTACGTACCTTCTAAACATGCCCCTCTGGCCCTGCCCCTTCCTGAGTTCGAGGTCCACCCCATAGCTCA